AAAAAAAAAAGGCAAGAAATGTGTGCCAAGGAATTTTTTTCCACCATGACAATCCACCCACTCATTCTTCAAGGGTAGCACGGGCTGTTCTATGAGCACTTTGTTGGGAAACTTTACTCCATCCACCTACAGCCCTAATCTTGCCCATTCAGACTTCTTTTTGCTCCCCAAACTCAGAGAACATTTAAAAATGATTTAAGTTCCCTCGAGGACACCAAATTGCTATTTTTATGTGGTGTAATTCAAAGAGAACAGATCATACAGATCTAGATGGTGAAACTTCTCCAAGTTTTTTTAATGTCTCTTGATGCCGTTAAAAATTCTTTTTTATACTGGTCACAAATTGTGCCCACTTTAACTTACTCATTATTTCTATTTATGCACTATCCATGCAAAGAGGCAAGCTATTTTTAACTATCTGCAAAAAAGACAGCTTTACTTTTCCTTTCCAATCTGCATATTGTTTTATTATACTGGTATTATTAGTTTGATTATTGCAAGATCTAGGACCTCAAGTATAATATCGAATATAGTAATGCTAAGTGGAGTACTAAGTATTTAACCTGCTGTCTACACTGTGGATATTTAACTATGACTTTTAATAATTCATGTATCATACAATTTAATAGTTCAGTCACGTTAAGTCTTGTACAATCATCAACACAATCAATTTTAGAATATTTTCTTTGTTCTTATACTCATTAGCTTCCCATCAGCCCCAACTTCCCCAGTCATACCCCAAGAAACCACTAATCCAATTATTGTCTTGATAGATTTACCAATCCTGGATTTCATATACAGAAAAATATACGAAAAGCAAAAGAACACAAACAATCAACAACAATAATGAAGTAAAACAGAGAACAACCTCCACAGAAAAAGGAAGCAGAAAAGATTTAAAACTATAACAAATTTAAAATGGGTCAATAGGGAGATCAAATGACAAGGTGTCAAATTTTAACCTGCAATAATCTACTTTCCGAAACACTCTGCATGATATAAAGACTACTCACACCCCTGGTCAGAGGGGGTTCACCAGGACCCTAATCTATGTGTATTTCTCCTTCACTTTTTTTAGCTGACAGAACTTTAAAACAGGCCAAAAGGGAAATCAAATGACATTCCATTTAAACCTAACTACATTTGTCACAATTGGCTTTAACATGCTCTCAGTCTGATAACAAGGCTATCCACATCCCTGGACTGTGGCAGAGGGATTCACCAGATGTTTGACCCATGTGTACACTCTGCATATGGATTTTGAGCTTCCACTGTTATCCATAGCCTTCAGCAAACAAAGTATTCCCAAATTAAACTCTGATACCATTCCCTCCTTTGGAACACACATTTTTAAAGAGTTAGTCCTTTTCTATAAGTGTCTTTCTTCTCTCCCAGATAATTATTTATAATCTTAATTATCCAATGCTATTATAACATATATAACACAAGTGCACGGTTTTAACAATACATTTATTTTCTCACAGTTTAGGAGGTTAGAAATCCAAATTCAGGACTCTAGTTCTAGGGAAGACTTCCCCTCTCTGTTGGCTCTGGAGGAATGTCTTTGCAGCTTGTCTCCCAGTTCCTTGAAGATCTCCCTGTGGCTTGGCATCTATCTTCCCCATCTCTATTTCTCTGGATTGCTTATTTAATCTCTTTTATATCATATAAGAGACTGACTTAAGACACACCGTGTAATTGTGATGAGTCGTACGAGCCCCCAATAAAATGATTTTTAAAAAATCAAGGTCAAAAGTAAACGAAGAGCTCATGATGACATCAGTTCCATTTGTCTAAGTCCTGGTGTCGTGTGGATGAACAGCAGCCAGTTAGGATGAGAGGCAATCGGTAGGGAGTTGCTCACTATGGTTTTTCTAATTTCTATTATTGTTTATTGGCTTCACACTGTCATGCTTCTTTGTAACTTTATAGTAAGCGTCGCAATCAGGTAGTGTAAATATCCCAATTTTGTTTCAAGATTAGTTTGGGCCTTATTTGATCCTCTGTATCCATCAACCTATCAATATATTTAAAATCCTGTTGACATTTTGACAAGGAGTGAGCTGAAACTAGGGAGAATCTGCTTGACAATACTGAGTTATCCAATCCATGTATGTATCTTTTTTTTTTTCTTTTTTAGTATGTATGTATCTTTCCATTTATTTGAGTCCTCTTGAATTTCTCTCAGCCACATTGTGAGGTTTTCGTGTATAGAAATTGCACTGCACACGAGGGTAGGTTGAAAAGCACTGTTACTAGGGCTCCAGTTCATACATGGACTTATTTATTCCATACAAAACATGTTTTTCAAAACAGTGACTTCCAAGGACATCTGCAGGGTCAGTTCAATTCAAG